AATTTTCTAATATGTAGTCAGTAAAACATTCCACTCGATAGTCTTGAGGTAAAATAGAAATTAAGTCATCGGTGAAGCAATCATTGACATCTAATGGGTTTAAAAAACGAAAGGCCAAAAAAAATAAATATTAAAATAATTAAATAAATAAAATAATTAAATATTTACCAATTTCGGAGTTTTTATTTTTATATTCATCAACTAGACCCAATGATTGGATTTTTCTAAACCATGCTTGTCCCAAATGAAATCGACAACCCCTAAGTCGTGTTGATGGCCAAACTTTATTTACGGCAACATGAATTGCCTTTTCAAAATCAGAAAATACAGTTTTAGGATTAAAACATAAATTAAGTTTTTGACATTCTGAAATTATTAATTGAAAAGAAGCCTCATACGTCGTTGAAGCTTTGTCCAAAAGTAAACAAAATACTAAAGGTATGTAGTTATTATTTTTCATTCCGTGGATAGTAAACAGTTGAGTAAACTGTATTGGACAGCTTTTAAAAGTTCCGTCGATATAAATCGTATCACACATAATTAAAAATTTTAAATTAGTAACACATGAAAATATTATTATACTTTTAGTATCGTCATTAATTAATATAAATGACTCGTCTTTGTTTGTCTTCGGGTTAAAATCTATGAGAGCTGCATGTAATTCTGATAAGGTTTTAGGTAATTTAGGCATTATTGATGTTCTAACATGATGTATATTTTTTCGAATTAATTGTAAGTCATAGGTATTTAAAGTATCTGTATCATTCTCTCTGAGTTCTCTATGAATAATTTTTGAAGGTCTCTCAACTGGATCATCTAAAGCTTTACGTTTTAATTTATTGCTAATTTTCTGTCTATTTATTAAATTTTCACTCGGTTGTTCATGATTATGACTAAAAGATTTCTCAACTATAGTATTAAATTCATTTAATTTAAAAAATGACTTACAGTTATTTTTGCAACAAGTCCAGCGTTGGTGATTATTGGCTAAATTTTTGTGAAAACGAAATTTGTATCCGTCGATTACAAATATAGTTTTATTTCTTTCACTTAGTATAACTTCATCCATGATGCTTGGTGTACCTCGTAAACTAGAGTGTGTAATATAATAAAAAAAATTCCAAGTTGATATGAACTATATCAATAGATATCGGTAATTATTATACTAGTGACGATAGAAATAAAATCTAAAATTCCCGGCCTATAGTATAATAATATGTTACTATATTATCTGATGAAAGTCATAAAAATGATATGAACGAAATGTATATATAGTATTATATACGTATATTGACATATTGTACATCAGTACATCCATTTTGACGCCCGGCACGGCTGTGCGGCATAATTTTCGCTTTGTCTGGACTCGGACGGTTGATTTTATATTTTACTCAAAATAATCCTCGGACTCAATTCGTATACTATTAGTTTCCTAACCCCGGACTCAATTAGTATATATCTCGTTAGTACCCAGGACTCAATTAGTATATAATTTTTTTTCCCTTCAGGTATAGGGACTCAATTGGTATACAGCGGTTTCAATAAGTCCAAATAAAAATTAAATTTTTATAAGTAGGTACTTAAATAATTGAAATTAAAACATACATATCATTTGTATGAAAAACAGCTTATAACAATTAGAAGGTAATTTACTGAACATTGTTCAAGTTTTATAAATCAATTTGTATTTAAATTATTTAGGTGAAACTACATTAATGATATCAGTTTCATTAAGATCAAATAAAAATACAATATTTTTTAAATAATAAAATGTTAAATTCAAAAATTTAAGTACGTTTAACTAAAAAGAAAAATGGTTGTCTAATGTTTATACAAAACATTCAAACGAAAATAATGTGTAATTCACTTTATTTATATAATCATTTAAACAGCTACAGAATAATCTTGATCCATATTTACGATTCAATCATTAAATACTGTTTCATGTTTCATCCAAATATAAGATATTGTTCAACTTGAAATGAAAAAAAATAACTATAAAAACAAATAAAACATTTGTATGTAACAATCCTTACAGCTTAAGAAATAAAAATTATATTTATTTGAAATAATACCATAAGCTCTGCAGTTTTATCAACATTTAACACCTCCATTAACTGCATTGGAACAAATAAAAGACCTAAAAATTAAAATAATGATGAATGTAATGTGAATCATACAAATATATAAATTTAAGAGAAAATTACATTTAAATAGTCAACTATTAAAAGCTCAAATCATTATTTTAAATCAAAATTCTGTTAATATATGTCCATTATTTATTATTAACTTAAACAGAAAAGCAGAATATCATACAATGATATGATTTTCATAATATTATAGGTAAATAACATTTGTTGTTTGACAATACGGTTTTATACATTTAAAAGGTCAATAATTAAATAAAACTTCACAAAATCTGGTGCTGTGAAATAATATGTGTGGATTATAAAGTTTATACGTCGAAGACATTAAGTGTGGCTGTAGCTTTATGTAAAATGTAAAAAGTAAAATTATTGAATTAACCATGAAATTCAATGTACAAGAGTTTTCAAATAAGAATATACTGAAAAATAATAACTTATAACTAGAGAGCAGATTTCTATGCAATTGCATATATTTTTCCTTTTTACTTTTTTGGATTTTTGTCAGTTATCTTCGTGAATCCGGAATCATAACAATTTTGAATCTAATGGTGATTTTTTTTTTCGTATTTCTGAATATTTAATGGTTATTAGTTATTACATATTTTTGCATATTTTTACATAATTTGAAATGTATTGCATACTAAAGCAAAAATTTAAAAACAATTGTGTAAAATAACATTTTGTCAAGTAGACAATATATTAAAAATAATTTTGTTGGCATTTATTGATCGTGAATTTATATGCAATCGTTTATTATTTTCTTTTTCATATTTTTAAATCTTTTTCAGTTATCTTCATGTATCATGATAATTTGAATCTAATGATGAAATTTTATTTGTATATTTCTGTATATTTTTATAAAATTCGATATATATTAAAACGAAAATTTTTTATGTATTTAATTTATTTAAGTGATTAATTATTGTTGAATTGTTTAATTTGTGAATTTTTTTATAAATAAAGAAAATTTTCTTGCATATTTTTATGATTTTTACTACATATTATATGGTATATGTTTTGATAATTTTTAATGCATAAAAATCCGTGCTCTACTTATAACATAAAATGGGCAGTAATTGTTTAAATTATCAATTATCATAACATTGAATACAGTATAACCAACAATAACAAAAATGAAGAAAAATAAATATTTTTTGTGTGTACAAATTGAACTTAAACTCAAACATGCATTGTATTTTTAAAAAATGACATAATTCTAACGATTTTGTCATCATATTAACCAAAATTAAAATAAAATTATTAATAGGTAGCTTTATACATCAATTATTTTAAATATCACCTATACAAATACCACGTACTCATGGAATGACAAAAATGTTTCTAACTTTTTAAATACTTTGATTTAAATTTTAAACATTCAGAGCATTATTTTTTTTATTATATACATAAAAGAAAACTTTGAATCTAGTGGATTAAACATCAATAAAATTGAATGCTTTTTAAACATTTGACTTTCGTATCAGTTAAATATTTATCTTAAACTTTCACTGCTAAAGCTTATCGCAAACAAAACTACAGCCAAAATCTATAGCTAATAGAATAGGTTATGATAATAATAAAATTAATATGAATAAAATATTAATTCAACAATCTTAATTAAATTTTATTTAAATAGAATGAACAATAGATTACATATTTTTTTATACTTAAGCCCGGCAACGGCGGGTAATTCAGTTAGTATAATTGTATAATGTTATTTATTATGTTATTGATAATTTTCTAACAAAAATAATGTTAGTTTATCTTATTAATGTACAGAGTATATATTGCTTGGATGTGTAATAAGTAATGACAATAAATGTTTACTTTTTTTTATAGACCATAGTACATAAGTACATTCTATGTGCATATTTTTACATACTGTTTATTACATTTTTATTTTGCTACTTATTTGTCGACGACAAAATTATTATTTATTATTACTACTGCTAATTATTATTTATTAGTATAACAAATCGTTATTCCAAGAATAGCAATACAGAGTGCTCGTTTATCATAATAAGTTTCATAGAAATAAATACGATTACCTTTATAGAGTAAACAACATTTTTTTATTTCTAGATTTTTTTTGATAATTTTGTAGGATAATTAGTTAATACATCATTATTACCTTATTTCATACAAAATGAAGAATAATCCAAGTCCATTAGGAATACCAAAATCATCTTTAATAAAAAAAAAATAGAGTTGCAATAAATTATTGGTTACCCTTAAAACAAATATGAAATAACCTTGATAATATAATATACTTTTGTAAGGAAATTTTCCATTTGAAAATAATGAATTTAACAATATTTGTATAATGTTGTATAACAATTTTACGGTACGAAGAACCGATAACAACACAATATAGTCAACCGTCGTTGTTGCGGCTCAATTTTATTTTAGTGCGAAAACTTACTACTTACACATCATTAAGACAATGGCACTCGGCGTGTTAATATTGTATCTACCTAACGCTCAATCGTTAGGATAAAACAATATAAATGTATAATTCTGTAATGATAATTTGATAATTATGTATTTATGTAGATAGGATAGATACTTAGGTACTTTATATTTTTATTCATAGTTTTTATCATTGATTACAGAATTTAAAATTCTATAATCAATCGTTTCTATGACATTGTGCATGTTATATTTTAGTACTGATTTTCTTGTTTTTTACAAATTATATCGACACAATGTTTATTTTTTAACATAATATTTACATAATTAATAAGAACAAAACAACATTTTTGTTTAAATAATAGAATAATATTTTATTCCTTGCAATAATAGGCAATAGGCAGTTATACATTATTAATTTTCTAGTTGTTGAACGTATTTAAAATGAGTGTTGATGAAAATGTATTATTACTCCAATCCAAAGTTAATTTGGTGCAATTTGAAAAACCAATATTGATAGCAAATATTAACCAAACTAAACAGGTACTTAAATATTATTCTTTTTTAATTATTAGTTTTAGATAGGTAACTTTAATATTTCCCATAAGGCCCTAAGCCCATTTCACCTGCGTATCATATGCGTTCATGTGAAACGAGCCTAAGATCGTAAACACTTGTAGTAATATTCTAGGAACTGCTAGTATCAGACGTCTTTAACTTACTTATTATTCAAATATACATAAATATAGACAATATAGTCCTATTTATAAATTTAAAAATTATAACAAAACTGCTCGGATAATTTGTAAATAATTTAAGGTTTTTAGTAATTAAAAAAATACATTTAGCTATAAAATTAAATAATCGGACGCTGTTAAAATATTTTATAAAGAAGATTCATTTATCGCTCATATTAAACATGACTATTTCAAACGTATTTATAAATAATAAATAGTACATCGAAATTGTCCGATTGTAAAAAGGCCCTTACTACACACTAGGCGAATAGCTCGCGCGCGGATGCGTTTTTAAACCGCTACGAATGAACGACCAAAATTAAGCATGTACGATCGATCGTGGATTTTATTTGTTCGCTTTATATAGTGTGTATGGTTTAATTTAATACAAGCTGTTTTTTAATTTTAAGCGAACGTTTGCGGCGATTTGAAATCGCATCCGCGCTCGAACTATTCGCCTAGTGCCTTAACTGTAACTATTACACTTTTTGGGTTGATTTAATACCGCTTAATTAATATTAATATAATATATATTATATTATTATATACGTATATTATATTGATCGGCAATGTTTGAGTAGTAAATAATTATCACACACGAGTCGTGCGCTAATAATAAATATTTGATCGAAAAACATGTTTGTTCGTTATTGAAAACGTAGATAAAAAAAAAAAAAAGAAGAAATAAGAAATCCAAACGATGTCTGCAGTTGGAAGATGGAGTATTCATTCTCAGGTGGCTATATAATATTATCGTTCAGCGTTCTAGAACATTCTTTAAAAACACCCTACAGTGAATTTGTGCGACAGCTGCAGGGGGCCTGTTTATACATATGTATTTTTGTCGGAATTCAGCTGTTCGTTCGTCTATACACAATAACCTTCTTAAGTATACCCAAGGGTGCAGCAATTTACGAGCAGATGTTATAATGTATCGGACGGGTGGTTTTTTGTGAACAATATTCTTCACTGGCATTGTACCGCCATGAGATGTGAAAGCGATAGGGAAAAATGGGAGATAGGGAGATATTGTGTGTAAATGTATTATACGTCGGTATTATTTCGAATGGAATTTAGTGTTTACCTAATTCCAGCTTAATATTCCTTCTAGAATATTCTTTACAATGTAGTTGAATGTACAGCAGATGGTCGGCTATTGTCGACCGAATATTTAATATTATTATACAGTGAAAACTGTCTAAAGCGGAATCGCATGGGACCAACAAAAAATTACGCTTTAAGCATTTTTCCGCTTTATTCAATAAAACGAAAAAATTCCAGATTATTCAATTCAAATGAATAAGAAATATCAAAGAATATTTCTCAATTTATTGTTTTAAATACATAATATAATTCATTAAAATTCATTAAATTTGATCAGTTGATATTTTTCATTTAATGAAATACACTTATATTTTGGCATTTTAATATTTAATGCGATGAACGGAAGATAAAATAAAATTAAAAGTGTACGTACGACTGCTGGTGTAAGACTGTTTCACAGTTACAAAGAAGAAATTTCGTATCGTTTAAGATGCGATAATATGCATTATATGTACAATACTACAATGTACATATTATATTTTACGAATATGTACCTATAGAACAATTTTATCTTCTTTATCACTATTTAACTATGTACATTGTACATTGGCATATCTATATTTAATACCTTATTTTTGGTTTAGATTTGATACACTCATGTTATTTTTTCTGGTTTATGCAAGGTTTTTACTAGCAAGGGACTTACAAAATCGTTCCGTTTCCGCGTTATGAAGGTTCCGTTTTATTGAAGTTGAGCGTCTATATAAAACTATAGGAACGTGCCGGGACCATAGAAAAATTCCGTATTGGATAGTTTTCCATTTTATTCAGGGTCCGCTTTAGACAGTTTTCACTGTAGTACGATTGCATGCATTATACCTTTTTCGGTACCTACGATTGCACTTAGCGCCAGAATAACAAGGTCATGATGTTAACTATACAAAGGCGTATGTGAAATTGGGAGCGACATTGCCTATTTTTTTATTAAACAAAAATTATGTTAAGTATAAATTAATTTATTTAATTATTTAATTAATTTATTTATTTATTTATTAAGTATAGATACAAATACTATAATATAATTTTAAAAAATAAATATAAAATTTAACACTGTGACATAGTTGAAACACGAACACAAGTAAGTATAATCATTAATGTCACATCATGCATGATTATAGTTCAGGCATATTCGTACATATATGAGAATTTACAATAAATATAATAACTCTGATTCATTATAAAAGTATGATTTAAAATATAACCGATTACTTCTTAGTCATGAGAAGTTTGTCTGTTATCGGCAATAATAAGTAAAAATTATTTACTATAATCTACCATAGTATCGTATGGATTTATCATAAGGCTATATACTTAGTAATGTTATTTAAAAGTAAAAATATTATGGCGCACGCAATCTGCAACTGTAAAACCAACAACTCATTAAGTTCCAAAAATGTTCACCAAAAACAATGAAAACGTTTTATTCTGTTATACTACATCAACTATTGACTTAAGTAATAATTTCTAATGATAACTAATAATTATGCATAAGATGTGCAAAACGATTCACTCATTCTTTAAAAAAAAAAATCAAAATAATCGGATAAATAGTTTTAGAAAACATGTGTGACACAGATTTATATTTTTCTATTGATAAATCAATCATCAATAAATTTTCCGAAACATCTGATATTTACATGCAGATATCATTAACACCCATAATTTGGCGGACAAAAAAGTCAGATTGTAGGTGACTGGAAACCCGCGGGCTGCCGCACCGTATTTAGGTATACAATTTACGCGTTTATTTTAATTATTAATAACTAATTATTTACTAACTTTACCGGACTAAATTTATGCTTATGACATTCGCGTATTCATAATTCATAAGGCATATAAAAAAAAAATCCGATTAAAGTTGTACCGTTAGCTATTGAGTTTACTTATCACAAAAAATGCACTTACAGCTTTATTTATTAGTATAGATACATACAAATAAAATTTGAATAGAATAAAAACATATGTCACTAGAGCAACAAAAATACTGTTTGAAATTATTACTGAAATAGTGATACATATAATAGCTAGTAATTAACTAGTTTCTTTACTTTTTGCCTATGAATTGGGTATAAATCTTATACTTTTTTGATAATTAATAGAAATTGTTTGCAGGTTCTATGTGGTATTGATCTTTATAAAATACTTATTATAAAATTAAAAAATGTAAATAGAATTTTTTTAACTATAAAATACTATTAAAATAGTAGAACAGATATACTTTTCTGTGTATTTTGCCACGTAACAGGTATTTTTTCTATAGATTTGGTATTCATGTTTGTTTATAAGGTCAAAATATATTAGACCAATAATTTAAATAACTTAATTAATTACTAGAATAAAAGTTCTGTTAAGAACAATGTTCGTCCAGTGGAATCTGGTGATGATGTGGACGAATGCGAACGACAAAGTTGTGATGACGTTTTGAACAGGATATTACCGCCTAAAGAATGGGAAAAGGACGGTAAAACATTTCGTCAATGTTTATCCCATAAACCAGCTACCGGAATACATGTGAAAAAACTTAGTGAGAAGTTCGATATATATTTAAGAGAATATAATGCCAAAGAAGTTGGCATTTGCCCGATCAAGCAGGAATTGTACGGTCAATGTTTCAGTAAGTTTGAAATACTAGTGAGTTGTGATACGAACTATGTATAAAACCTCAAAAAAGCCATGAAGTGGAATGAAATAATACGTTTAAACTCAAATTTCTTATTGAGAGGGGAGAGGATACGCCGTGGTCGGATGCAAAAAATCGATGCTAAACAGTTTATTTAACTATACTATATTACGTAGACGTATTTAAAAAATAGTTTTTACATTAGCTAGTTAAAATTTAGGAAAATTTAGAAGTATAGACAAGGACCTCAAAAACGTACAAAGTTATAATAATTAAATTACAACATTCTCTATTATATAAATAATAGATATAGGTAGGAACCTTTTTTTAATATTTTATGGAATCGCCACAAGAGGGCTGAACTTGCACATTAAGTGGCCAAATAGACATGTAGGGTTCTAGTAAAAGGTGAGATTACATTAAACAAAGATTAGAGATATATACGTGGCTTGGCGTGGCGCGTTGGCTGCTTCCAGTTGCGGAATGCTACTGAGAGTAAGTAACGGCCACAGCTACTAGCTCTCGGATGGGTGACCATTCGGGATCATAGTGGTTAAAAACCTTGCCACACATACACGTGTTTGCTATCAACCGTAACAATCGTAAAAATACAACCTACCGAACCAACCTTACTTTTACCCCCTACCACAGTTCATAACCCCTACAAACAGCTAATGGCCCTAGTTTCAGGGCTTAGGTTCAATTAAAAAAAAAGAAGAGATATACACATTACACATCAATACTATAGTTAACCAATAGTAAATTGGTCTTTTTATTAGAAAAATAAATCGAAAAAGATTCCCAGTACTCGATATTGGTGGTAATAGTTACTATAGTGCAGTTTTAATCTATTGTATTACATTTTTTTGCAATTAGCTTTTTTCGATTTAATGATTTTAAATTTTTAATCCATTTATCTGAGTGCTGTTCTTTGGGCTTTTTTCCCACTAATTTTTTATTAATTTTATCCTTAACTCCATTTAATCATTACGATCAATGACAATCAGCGAAACGTCTGTTATAAAAGAAGTGGTACTCGTACTTCATTATCAGTTGTCAATTGCCATATTTTAAAACCATCAATCATCAACATATATATTATAATGTTATTATTTAAATTAAAAATGTAAAAATGAAATACGAAAAAAATAAAAAATAATCTACTAAAAAAATAATAATAAAAAATCTTCAGTTATAGTGTCTAGTTTACTACAAACAAATCACTTCGTATTAACAAAAAGGTGAGAGGATAAGATACACGTATTTACATATATTATATAATCTACTTCTTTTATATCGTCACTCGTCAGTGTTAGCCAAGATAAATTCATAAATATTTTTAGTGTTTTATTAGGACATTTAAATTCATTCTAAATGTATATAATATATATATATATTAAAAAAAGATTTCAGAAGGACCGTAATTGTATATATTTATATATTTATGGCTTTTTCTGATAGTTCATTATGGATAGAAAATTGAATATAAAAACTTTTTTAGTTAAGATTTGATATTAACTATACCTGTTATTTAAATAATTTCTAGGTAATAAATAATTAAAAATATTTAACTTATGTAACAACAATGACTATATTTTAATATTTTAGTTAAATATATGATTTTCAAAATGTATGGCTTTTAATTTCATATAATTAGGGTCCAGAACAATTGGAACATAAATTTAAATGCACTTAAATTGTATGAAATTATGTGCTTATAATTGTACAAATATACTTTAAAAATATGCACTTATTTTTTTTCTCCTCACAATTTTGTTCTAAATATTAATTTATAAAAATGAAAAATTCTATGTTAACTAAGGAATAAGGATTCGGAAAACACAATACAGTTATGCAATAATACCTAGTGAAACCCTTCAAAATAATTAATATGTATTATAAAGTATTTTATTTTTTATTGTCAAATTTTCAAATTGTATTAAAACATATCATTAATTACCTATCAAATATGGAGCTAGGTGAATTGGGTCCGTGATAATTTGTGTTCGTTTTGAAAGCGGTAAGTTGAGTCCCAGGTATAAAATGGTAGTAGGTAAGTTGGGTCCCGGCTATAAAAAGGTAATAGGTAATTTGTGTCCCGGCTATAATTCATTGGCGCAATTAGGTCTAAAATATTAAAAACTTAAAACTTTAATATTTCATATTTATATAATTTACTTTTGAATAATTGTTACAATAATGTGTCATATTGTATACAATGTGGTACACCGCCTGGACACCAATTAATTCTAGGCATGATGTTAATGTGTATAAACAGGTATAAGAGAACAAATGATGAAATATAATAATAATATAATAACTCGATTAGAATTTGCTAAATTTTTATCATTTAAGTTTTTACCTAAAGCATAATATTTTATACCATATATTATAAAATTTGACGTACTATATTACTTAGCGTATTAACATTTTTTCCCGGGACACAATTTTTTAATTATTTATACCATGTATTATTTATTGAGAACATAATATTATAAAAACCACATACATTTTAATTTATATATTTTTTTCCGGGACTCAACTTACCTACAACCTTTTTTTTTTCCGGGACCCAATTTACCAATCTCGTTAAATATACTCTAAAAATGGTAAAATTGAAAAATATGCACTATAAACTTTTATTATTTTGTTCGTGATATTATGAAACTAATTTCAAGATTACTTAGCAATAAATCTAATAGACAAAAAAAAATGCAAATACAATAACTTCAGTAGGTACCTTACATGTAACTAATTAATGCTCATCGAATCTACAATATTTATATAGATGAACTCATTAGACAAGTAACATTAAACTGTACGGAACGGGGTTACATGTTGATCCAAATTCGCGACGAAATCCAAATGACCATTGATGCCTACAAAGAACTATACGAAAGCGTATTAGCTAACGGAATCCGAAAGTTATTATGGGCAAGTGTTATAATATTATATTTTGCGTGCTTAGTAAATAAAATATCGTAATAATGGACCATGTAGCAGAGGCTACAGAGTATATCTATTATTGAAAATAATCCACCTAATCTATTAAAAAATCCTACCATCCAAACATATTATGTGTTTGTATAACCTAATGGGTCATAATAGAAAATTGTAAGTGTACGCAGCTTAGACAAACATCAAAAAGATAATTAAATTTTAAACTATTACGTTAAGTCATATTAATGTTATACGTAGATTAACGATCGCTAACTGATACATAAAATATTTTCTTCACATGTATACATATTAATATAATATTATGTTAACAAACATGTGAAGTTTAGTGATGTAACATTTTATCTAAAATCCGATTATTTATTATTCATCATATCTTGTTGATGAAAACTAAAATTAATACCACAATAACATCCATACAAATGTTCTCAGCATTTCACAATTTAACATATTACAGCTATTAAACGGTTTAGTAGTTCATACAGCAACTATTAAATTTAATTACATTAAATTTTAGTTAGAAGTAGTTAATTAAACTATTTCAATCACATAATGAAAAGCACCTCAAAATATTCAATGTTTGCCTATTTAGTTCAATAGTTGTCATAGGCATGCGAATGGTACTTTTTACAAGAATAAAAAATAACACTTACGCAGATTTTAGATACGGTCGATATTTACGATTTAATATTATTATGTGAGAAGAATCGTGAAAATTATATTTCCCAATTAACACATCCTTTAAAAATGTGTTTTATTTTTCAACATAAAAAAAAAATATTAATAAATCTAATATTTTCTATTACCTAAAAACAGTAATAATAATAATAATAATAATAATAATAGCAATCATAAATATTTTTAAAGCAATGATATGAATATTTATATTTTCGGGGAGCACATTTTATAACTTGCATACACTGTGATCAAAGTCGACGCAAAAGAATTTAGTTGTTTTTTTTTAATTTTCATTTATAATAATTTAGTTGCAATATATTGTTTGCGCATACTTATTGAAACGTAGTTCCTCAAGTTTGACAATTTATTTAGTTTTTGTCTTCAGCGGGAACACAAAAAATCTGATTTATCAACAAAAGTAGAACAGCTGATTTCTGAAAACGAAAATTTAGAGATCGAGCTGGCCGAAATTAATTTGATGACAGAAAAGCTTGAACAAGATGCGGCCGAACAGCGCAACGCGGCGATCAAACACCAAACCGAAGAAATAGCATCTCTGAAAAAATCCAATCAACTGATCAAAGTAACAACTGATATAAAATAATAATATAAATACACATAGAGAAATTTAAATGTAATTATAGATAATGAGAGCTATAGAGATAAGTCTGCATTTGATTTTCTCTGACAGGGCACAAAGACAATCCTCACGTTAATGGATATCGAAATTTGTGAATAGTTTCATACATTGTTTGATCATGTGTAGATAATTAAGTGACGCCGCTATAGGTCTGATATAAGGGCTTGGACCAGTTGGACCTAAAACAAAATTTTTATTTAAAGTCAGTGTACCAATTGTGCTCATTATATTTTAGGGTCAGAGCTTGTATTCAAATTTTCCTACCTTTAGATATGCAAATATTGTTGTTCAATCGAATTCCATCAATATCAACATAAACAATATACACACTTAAATGTTTGAAAATTAAAAATATATTTATTGATCAATTAATTACTGTTTGAGTGACTGATTATGATATATCAATCCCGTTTCCAATTCAAATTGTTAAATCCTATTAAAATTAATTTATGTTTTATACATATAATATGAGTAGGTATTAATTTTATTGATAAGCAAAATAATCTTAATAATCGTGTAAACAATTTTATTTATAATATTTTTGTCTTCAGAAATATTATAATCGTTGGTTTAGTACTTAAAAATTAATGAAATATGAATATAAAAATTTTAACGTTTGAATTTTTTCCAGGTCATAGAAATGTTTGAAAAAATATTAACAATATTTTGTCTCATTTGCTTACTTTTTTAATTAAATCTCCAGTTAAATTCATTACTTCAATTAAATCAGTTTATCTCTTTGTAATGCTTTACAAGATAAATAAAAAATGTGTAAAAATGTTATAAATAACTAACAAATAATTCGAATATGCATCAAATGTTGTATCAATTAATGTATTAAGTATTTGAGACGGTATTTTTTGTTTTGTATTAACCCACTCGTCATTATTTCTAATGGGCTCACTTGCTTACCATAACTTCGTGTAAAGCATTAAATTTTCTAATAGATTCATGTTTTTCTACTCACCATATAGCACAATATTTAATTTGTTTTTCTTTCTTTGATTTTAATAAATTATTTCATACTTAGCGATACACGCCGTTTTTTTAGGAGTTTGTGCATACCATAAAATTATTTGAATAAAATCATAATCAAATAATATTTTAACAATCAATGTTTTATACTAGGTATAATAATTTTTAACCTTGTTTAATAAATGTAAAAGGAATTGGTAATTATCCTCAAAACAATCTTATTTGTGTGTACGCTAGGCTTGCCATTCGTCCCGGTTTTAACAATATATATCCCGGTGTCCCGGATCATAAATTTTGTCCCGGTTAATGGAAGCCAAGTTAAAATAACTTTAATATTATATTATTTAACATAAAAATATGGAATAATATTGTATATAATAATATTACATCATTACATGATTATCGTATTATGTTATCTGCTTATTATTTCCATATAATTATACTAACATACAAAAAAAAAAAAAGGTTATTTTAATATGATGTCCCGGTTTGGTGATATTAAAATCTGGCAAGCCTAGTGTACGCCCATGAAATTATATGCACTTATCTATATCATGTATTTTTAGGTTCAATTGGAGTCAATCATTTCACCGAAAAGAGTATAAAAAAAAACAGCTTCCATATTAACATCATCACAAACATAGTAATAGGTATAATGCAATTAAGAATATAATGAAGTGTAGTATGAATATTATTCATATTATTGTAAACACATAAATAATAAAATAAATTTTCGATATATTTATATAGATGTAATATAATACTATAACGCTATAACTTTCAATTTGAAATAAATTAATGATTTTTTGCAAAAATACAACGATTATTTTATAAGTTCATAAAATAATACATAATATAAATTTTAGCAGTCAATTTATAATAATGCTTGAATGATGTTCCACACAACATAATGTGTTATCGATTACTACCTACTCGAACGATTTACACGCTCGTCAGCATAGGACCTGATGGTTACGACCCACAAACAATTATAATCTGGTCTAATTATTGGTTTGCTAAATTGGTCGTTTTTCTCCGAGGATAGGTTAATTGTCCCCGAAAATTTGTGTATATTTTGAAAGCAGTAAATAGAGTCTCAGTACACAAAAGTAGTAGCAAGGGCGCCCGAAGGGGCAGAGGGGAACAACTGTTCCTAGCTTTCCTGCTAGTAAAGATAATTAGATCCAAATTAAATATTCCAAAATCCCAAAAATCATTATTGGTACTAAGGTGTATTGATATTTATAGTCGATAGATATACTTCGTGATAATATAATTAGAGAGAATATGGACAGTCAAAGAAACAAATAATTTATAGAAAGTATTTTAAAGCGTCAATTAATTTCCAATATCACATTTTTATGTGAGACTAGGTTATCTAAAAAATAAAAATTTATTAGGATATTTGATACTGATTCCTTTAAAATCAAATCAATTCTTAATAAGTTGGCAACAAATTATGATATTGAATCAGCTACTAGAACAAATGTCTATCAACTTTCGAGTACAATATTTACTATAGGATTTATTTATTAAGTCTTTGAATATATTAGAGCTAATTGTAAACAAATTACAAGATGTGATACGTCTATCATATTGTGTATTAGTATTCAATTATCACTTATCATCGATGGTTACACACAAACACACATACAATCTAAGCTATTTCACTTTATTTTTAAAAGCGTGCTATACGTTGAATAATGACTATAATATTGTGTCTTATACAATTAATAGTTATACAGTATTAAAGTTTTCTATTAAGCTTTTTTTTTAATTTTGGAAAAATTAAATAATTTCTTGCGTAAAAAACAAAACTGATTGTAAAATATGATGATAACTTTAAGTTCCATAAAATGTTGAATATAATATTGTATTACAGAGACAAACCAGCAGTAAAATGATAAGTAAGTGTTTTTTTTTTTTTAGACAATAACCGGTAAAAACTAAATAATAATCTCAAGAGAAAAGCGATAGAATAGATATCGATGTTGCCATCAAAACTTATTCGCAGAAAGTCAAAAACTTCTAATATAAATCGTTTTTAATTTAATAATAAAAAGAAATATAAGAAATGTGCGTTTATTGGTTCATTTCAACTTTCCAAAAGTCTTATAATAGGTAAATTTACTCTAACATTAAAGCTAACAACATAAATTGGATTCTGCTGAACGAAAATTAGCTATGTTGTATGTAAGATGCAGACAACACATGCGGGTAACGGGGAGAGGCGTCTTCTAAAGAGAACAAATAATGAAATAACAAAATTCACTATTAATATGATAACCCGATTTGAGTTAGTTCAATCCTTATGATTTAAGTTTTTACCAAGAACGGCAAGAATATAATATTATAAAGAATACATATATTTAAATTGAATTATGATAATAAAAATGAAATACTATATTTTTATTTGAAATATAATATAAAACCATACAAATTTTAATTTATACCATAATTATAAAATTTGACTTCCGATAAAGATTATTATATATTAAAAAAATGAGATAATTACATAAGTACTTTTTACCAGGTCTTAATTTACCTACTAGGTACATTTTTTAAAAGGATCCAATTTATCATTTGGTACCCAATTTACCAATTCCGTTTACTTCCACATGTATTTATGAGTATGAGTATACTCGATTGGCTGCATTTGAATAATAATTATATTAACGATTAACTCCAAAATATAAATATATTCTAATAGGTATAATATTCTGCGTAGAATTTCTTTTAGTCTTAAATCTTTTACACAGTATATAAGTATGCAGCAGCAACGATATTATAAACTCGAAATTATCAAACCCAAATTATTATATTTTTATTACTTATTAATTATTATATTATGTTCACGTTTTACACATATCATCTGGGATAATATTGATTGGGTGTTAGCCTTTAGGTCCTTTTCAAATACGTGCGTATACCTATTACGCAGAAAATAAATAATATTTTAGCGGTATCTACTCGTATATTTCAATTGATACGTTTTATAACTACATTTCTTTGTACGCGTCGACGCATTATATTATTATTTATTACAGTGTGTATCTATTGTGTAATACACACCGTGACGAACAATAATTCTACCCTAAATTTTCATATTCTTCGTTTTCCGTTTACGATGTTTATTGCATACATATAATGCACTCGCACTTATTGTATACAAACGCATTTCAATATAACAATACATTATTTATATGATAATCGCTTTAGTGTTTAAGATTTGTTGGTAAAAAATAAAAATATAGATTTTATTGTTATCCCCAAAAGTGACAACGCACATGTTCGGTGCTACAACTGCAGGGACGTAAAGTAACCATTTACAATATTTGAAAAGTAACACTGCAATGAATATTTTATTATTATCAGTGGCGTATTTTCAAATTTTTTGTGAAGGGGGGTCTAAATATTAAGTATCTATATTAAGTTTATAATATAAAAAAAACACATACTAGTTATGATATAGTTAAACCCAAGTTATTTATGACTTTAAAAATTTTTTCTGGGGGGGGGGGGGGTCGAGATCCGGGGACCACCCTTCCACCCGTAAATACACCACTGATTATTATAAAATATCTATCTAGACTGACATTTCATTGGATACTTGGATGTATCATGTTTACATACTTATAAATTACCTATGACAATATATAAGTATCAGATTTCAATTTACCAGTGTCGATTCGGTAGAGGTGATACACATTTGTCATGTTATAAATATAAGTATTTACTTTTAGGTAAATGTGAGTTAAATGTTAATTAAATATCATTATAAAAATAATAAAATTATTGTTTCCATAAAGATAATCATCATATATTTTATGTGATTGATCATTAATAAATAATAATTATAAGTAGTATTAAAACTAGAAATAACAATATGCCCATAATAATTATATTTAAAATAATAATAATAATATATGAAATAATAATATTAATAGTAAAATATGATTATATAAAATAATAATAATAAGGGTATTAATAATATATGATAGAGAGCGCCTGAGTCGTCTACGGTAACTGACGAGTGATGAGAACGAGGTTTCAGAGTTGTATTTTTATTTTTTAATACTACTGTTATTCAACGACTGCAGTTGGGTTAAGTTACAGAACCACCAACCATTAACTCATTTAACTTGGCACGAACCAAGATAGCGAGATAACTATCTAATGCGTGAGTCGGGAGTCGGGAGGCCCAAAGGCCCAAAAATACCCATACTTGTTTATATGATGAATGTAGGTAGCGTTACAATACGCATTTCTGATATTTTCACTCACAAGTTTATCCAAAACCATGAAAGACCCGGTAATTTAAGTCTTATTTCCAACCCATTTTATCCATAGACCATACCTTCTTTTTTTTAAAGTATATCTTAGTTCATTGCTCGTATAATGTATTGATGTATTAGACGCTTTTAATGATACTACCTTACACCATATACCTTCACTCATTAGTAGTACCTTTAACCGGGTAAGGTAAACAGATCATAGACCTTATACTCATAAGTCATAAGTATATAATATATATATATATCTCATATATCTATTTTAATTAAGTTCGTAATAAGTTGTAGGCCAACACGGCCAACACAAGCCCTACTTGGATGTAAGAATTATTGTATAAATTTATATATGTATGTAAGATTGTTGTTTTTCAATAAACGATGGCGTCGTGGGAGAAGCAATGTTAACGCAGTCCCTCCCCCAGCTATCGGTATAAAAAAAAAAAAGACCATATATTCATAGAGGTAGCATTTTGTCGTGTTGTGGGCGGGTGGTGCAGTGGTAGCAGAGATGTCGATACTCTAGTACAAAATATTGTTCTTATAAAATATTAAATACATTTAAATAGATAATATTATAGTAGATAATATTGTAAAATTAAAGTAGTAGACACTGGACAACTTTAACGACAAGTATGGTGAATGATTGAATAATTTATATTTATTTTAATGAAAATAATACAATTTATAATACGATACAATAATAATTAGTATTACAGCATATTTAAGCACAACCTGGTTTGTCCAACGCACGTTCGCAGGAATATGAAATAACGAATGCAGCCAGCCACCATTGATCACGGGAACTACTAACTTCCTCGTCAGAGTAAAAGATTAAACAGTCATCAGTGTATTACTGTACTTTAACTTAATATAAAATTCTATTTAATAGCGTTTTTTTCTTCTTCCAGTCGCTTGTCCGCCATAAACATCAACAATCAACTCCCTTTTGTTAAATTACAATTTTATTGTGTACAATTTGTTTTTGTATCAGTTTTGAATTTAACATTAACGCTTGTTAAATCTATTGACGTGAATCAAATACAATTCGCTATTTATTAAACGTGAATTATCTTTATTCAAGATCATCGGACATTATTGACACTAAAGCCATGGAGAATTCACCAATTTCTAATGCTGTACCCGTGAGTATTTCATTCATCATATTATTTTTATAACCTATAAAAAAAAAAAATGAGCATAGGTATTTTACATGCACTATAGCATAGCCCATAGGTAATGCCAACTAGGTAATTATTAATATGGTAAGTAATGAATATAGTGTGATGTATGATAATGTAAACCCCAAACGCTTTAATAAATTAACAGGGAGTTTATTTAGAGTCTTTTTTTGTTTTAGTAATGTAGTTTGTTAATAATTGCAGATAATATTATCTTTAGTCCAACTCCACAAATAAGACTTAAGAACTTGTGAACCTTAAGAACTGAACAGTAAGTTCAGTAGGTTTTCATTGTATTTATTAATGTGTCAATTCATTAGTAATTAATATATTTATATACCTGATATCTGGTAATATAAGGTTAAGTTCCCCAAATAGAATTGACTAAATTGTTAACAAATTATAAAAGTATACATATTGTTATAAATAAACATAAATACAGTAGATACCTATATTGATATATTGTTTGTAGTGGTTACCTCTATATTTCCCTAAAATTATTTTTTAATATTTTAAATATTATTGTTTTGATCATAATTATTATTATTTTGAAATAGTATTATATTAAATTTTAATGGAAATATAATGCTTAAATTAGGTACTTTAATTAGACTAAATTTTAATTTTAATAAGATAGGTAAAATTGCTTTTAATTAATACAAATATTTTTAATATTGATGAAAGTTTTAAAACCATTTTTTTTTGCTAAATATAATGTATTTAATTTTTTTCAAGGTAAAACTCTAAAAAATTATTATTAAACCACACTTCAATCATTTTAAAAGTTTAGTTAGTTTTTCATACTAAAATTTAACGGTTTTATCTTTTATTAGTATGTCAATGTCTTCAGCAAAACAAAACAATTTGGCTTAAACATTTAGATTCAATAAGTCATCCATATAAATTACAAATAATATGGATCCGAGGTCTGTTCTATAAGGTGCACATTAACTTATATTTTAGAACTAATTATAGGTACTTATTATTCTTGTTCACCATTAGTGTTCCATCCATTCTATAAGTTTTAGGTAATTTGTTTGCTATTTCAAAAATTCCAAAATAACTCAGTTTTCCCAGTAAAAGTTTATGATTCACACTATCAAAAAATGATTTTATGTTTAAGAAGATACTCATTACTTTATGACATAAATACAAGTTTTTACGGATAAATTGGTTGACAGAAAATGTGTATCGATTGTAGATTTTTATTGCAGAAAACCAAATAGATTTTATGTCATAAAATTTTAATCTAAAAAAATTTATTTTTTCCCCAGTTCACTACATTATAACAATAAGTCATAACATATATTACAAATGAGGATAAAATTAATAAAAAAAATATCAAAGAATTAAGTAATAAACAATGTATATATGTATATGAAGTAATAATTTGAAATATTATTGCATAAAAAAATTATTAATTATTTATTATTAATTTATTTGTATTTAGTTATTTATTAAATTATAATTTGTTTTTGTTGATTGGATTTAGACGAATAATCGATTCAATATTCGTCGGATCGTGAATGAATTTGGATTGAGTGATCTACAAAGGGTCTTATATAGTGTTAGGCAGAACTTATCTGGTAACCAAAATGAGTTACGTTTGCGGATTTTTAACTTCTTAACTGATGATACATCTCTATCAAAAGTTATGCGAAGAAAAATTATTGAGCTTCATTTATTTAACCAAACACGACTTCAATATTCACCACAACCACACATTGCACAACAAAAAAATGTTTTATGTCAAATTTCATTAATCGACGAATCTTGTCCACAGCCACCTAGCACAGAATCTTGTGATATAGAAATTGAAGAATTAAAGTTTACTCAAAATATGCCATTCATTAAAACATTAGTTTCAATCCTAGATCCTTTTTACTGTAAGAGTAATAATTGTATTTATTATTTTCATGTATTTAGGACGAATTATTTATCAACAGATCCTGAAAATTATTTGGCTAATTCGTGTGATTCAACTAGTAAAGAACGTACAACGAAAACAGTTTTAAGATTACAGCGGGTTGGAACAGGCGTTAAAGATCATTTACCTTTTAATCTTAAAGTTACTTTAAATAATTATGTATGTGAGTTGCCTACTTTAAATATGTCTAAAATAAGAGGTGACTTTCCATGGCGAGTCAGTGTCCCTATTGATATAACTGAACATGTAAATTTTAATAATTTTTCACAGAACAAATTACATATTACTTGGTCAAATGATCCGTTTACTTACATAGCTGGTGTTTCTGTAATTAAAATATTAACTTGTGAAGATCTGCTTGTAAAACTTAAAAATAGACCTGTATATAGTATTGATAAAACTAAAGAGTTAATCAAAAATTTAATGAACAACGAAGCTGAATTAAATGTGGACTCCTTGATTATTACTCTTAAAGATCCAATAACTACACTCAGTATGAAATTGCCTTTTCGAGGATTAAAATGTGTACATTTGCAGTGTTTTGATCCTATATCATTCTTACAGATGAATAAACTCAAGGGAACATGGGAATGCCCAATATGTAAGAAACAAATGAAATTTAAAAACATTGTAATTGATGAATATTTTTTAAAAATAATTCAAAGTTCTGAGTTAAGTGAAGAATGTGAAAATATTGTGCTATTTAAAAATGGTTCGTGGACTGAGAAAAAAATTAAAGAGATTAATTACATAGAATGATTGTTTTAATAATGAAGATGTAAGATGAAACAACACCGGGAATGATGTCTATTAAAAATAAAATTTTATTTAATATAAAACTTCATTTAGTAGATTTATTAATTTTATTCTTTTTATGATAATAATTAACTATATATATTATTTGTAAATTTATCATCTTAAATCTGATATTTTCATCATTATTATTATTATATTTTTAATTATTAATAGTTAAATATTAAATTGTAAGTTGTGTTATAAACATAAGCCTTTAATTTGTATTATAACAATATTTAATATAATGATATAAATAAGTACAAAATATTTAATGTGAAATCTTATAAATTTAATAAAATTGATTAAAATAAACTCCAATTATATTTAAAATTTTCTTTTAGTGTATAACTTATTTAATTCATATATACTAAATATAAACAATTGAATTATTATTTACCTATACTAAAACACAAACTTATAATATACTTACAATATTTTGTGTAACGGCTGAAATATTCATAATTAATTCATTGAATATAAAATATATAATCATTGGCATAACCACAATTTCTAATTGGAAGAGGTTTAAATGTATAAGGTAATACATAAAAATTTTAATTATTTTGTATTTTTAAACATTTAAAATCAAAAATATTTGATCTTCATTACATTAATCATAGTTTTATTTTGATAATAATTTATTGACAATAATAATAA